TTTCATGGTAATGCTTATATATGGTGTACAGTAAAATTACATACATCCATAAGTACATTAAATACATTACATACATGTGTGTCTGTGTGTGTGTGTGTATGTGTGTGTGTGCGCATCAAAATCCCTTGCGCGAGGATCCTAAGCAGCATCTCCTTCGAGCGAGCCATCCAGCCATCTTTTCCATCGGGATGAACAGACTCACGCGCGTAGAAATCAGCGCGTGTGAAAGCAAGACAGAAGAAACGGAGGGAAAACGAAATGAAAAAAACTGCTTTATATGTATAATATATTTATATATATAAAACAACCACGCGTAACAGACGTCTCCTGGAAAGGGGGTGTGTGACGTAACGTTGCGACGCGACGCCGTCCACGCAAACGGCCCCCCGTCCACGCTCCACAGCTAAACCCTGAGTTAATGGAGACCGAGCGCTCATGCCGAGAAACATGGCGTTGAGAGAGGCCCGGGGGAAAGGGGGAGGAAGCAGGGTGGCGGGAGAGGGGAGGAGGGCGCACGGGGGAAGAGAGGGAGGTGAGAGAACGGGAGGACGTGGGAGGGGGCGGCAGGTGAGGAAGGGAAAGGCAGAATAAGAAGGAAGGAGACAAGGCAAGAAAAAACGTTGAGTCAGAAAATAAGGAAAAGGTGAGTGGGCCTTTACTTGAAACGAGTCGAAACCTTTTTGAAAAGAAAAGAAAGAAAAAGTCACTAATCCTATTTGGCACATGACTCATGACAAACAACTGACGGATGTAATGGTGATGATGGGAATAATAATGTTATTATCAACAATGTTAATAATAATACTAATAGAAATGATAACAGCGATGATAATAATAATAATAATAATGATGATAATAAAAGTAATAGTATCAAATTTTTTGAAATAATAAGAATAATAATAATAGTAAAGTAGTATTTTATATAGTGATGAAAAAATACTATAGTAATAAATAATGAAAAGGAAGAAAATATATAACTAGTAACAATAATTCATGATGATGATGGTGGATGATACATACTAGTTAAAATAATATTAGCAATAATGATATTGACGATGGTAATGGTGGTGGTCATGATAAAGAAATAATAATGATGCTAATAATGATGATTATCCTAATAATAATTATGGTAAAAATAAAAATAATAATGAAAATAAAAATAATGCTAACAATAGTAATAGCTGTAATAATAATAGTTAATAATAGCAAATAGATAATGAAAAATAATAATAATAATAAATAATAATAATAATAATAATAATAATAATAATATAAAATATAATAATAAAATAATGCAATAAACCAATGTAATAGATGACCATTCGACAGTAATGAAATGAATAACAAATATGACAACAATTGCTCCGCTAATTCAATAAAAAATAAAATAAATGATAGATAAATATGCAAGCTAATGACAAAAAAATAAAATGAAAATAAGATAAAAACAAAAATATAATGTGACAGTAGGACCACTTCCCAGTTCACGACATCTATTTATCTTTTTATACAGAAAAGAGAGAAAAAATAACCAACAAACAAGAAGATCGGGACGAAGAGTGAAAGGAAAAACAAAACAAAAAAAAAATCCGACATGAATTAGTCGAAACGAAGAGCGGAATCGGAGAAGAAACCGGAGGTGGTGGGGAAGAGTGGGGAGGGGTGGGGTGGGGATGGGTGGGGTGATGTAGCCTGTCAGCGTGATCTTCTATCCTCTGCGAGACCTGTTCCTACATACATGACAAAAAAAGGAGATTATTTGTCACTTCTATCGACTACGTTGATAGAGAGAGATAGAGGAAATAACAATAATGATAATAAAAAGAATGAAAGAAAAAAAATACGATAACAACTTTCATAGCAGACGATGTACACGTTAAGTGGTTGAGATTAGTAAAAAATAAAATATTAATTGGGTGCCACATATACAGTATTTACACGACGTTCATCATTATGTGGGCGGGAATATAAAATAAACAAACAAAAAATAATATATACATCATTGAGCACTTTCTCACATGGGATTGTGGACGTCTTTGTGAAACGGGAAGAATCTGGGAAGTCCAAGGCGGACGGGGAGACAGAGACAACGGAGCAGAGGCATGAAGAGAGGGAGAGACAGGGAGCGAAGGAGAGAGGGAGGCGGAAAGGGAGAATTAGGGAGGGAAGGAGAGAGGGAGAGAAACAGATATATAAAGAGAGGGGAAGAGACAGGAAGGGTGAGAGGGTGATAGATGGAGAGATGGAGAGATGGAGAGATGGAGAGATGGAGAGATGGAGAGATGGAGAGATGGAGAGATGAGAGAGAGAGAGAGAGAGAGAGAGAGAAGAGAGAGAGAGAGAGAGAGAGAGAGAGAGAGAGAGAGAGAGATAGAGAGAGAGAGAGAGAGAGAGAGAGAGAGAGAGAGAGAGAGAGAGAGAGAAGAGTAAGCTGTTAAAGCTTATACCCCCTTCCATTTACTCCCCCCCCCCCACCCCCTCCTCCCTCCCCACCCCCTACCCCCGCCCCCACCCCCCCCCCCCCTTCCAACCCCTCCTCCGCCCCCTCCCCCCCTATACCCCTTCTTTCCCCCCCCCCCCCCCCCCCCCCCCTCCCCCCCTCCCCTCCCACCCTGCCTTCCCCCCCCCTCCCCACCCCCTCCCCTCCCCTCCCCCCCCCCACAACCCCCCCCCCCCCCCACCCCCCCCCCCCCCCTTCCCCTCTCCCCCATACCCCCCCCCCCCCCCCCCCCCCTTACCCCCCCAACAACCCTTCTCCTCCCCACCCCCCCCCTCTTTCCCCCCCCCCCCCCCTTGCCCCCCCCTCCCCTTTCTTTTACCCTCCCCCCCCTCCACCCCCCCCCCGCTCCCTCCCCCACACCCCCCCCCCCTCAAGTCGCCCCCTCCCCCCCCACCCTCCCCCCCTCCACCCCCCCCCTCCCTTACCCCTCCCCCCCCCCTCACTACACCCCCACCACCCCCCCTCCCCCCTCCTCCTCCTCCCCCCTCCTCCCCGCACCCCCCCCACCCTTCTCCCTTTCCCCCCCTCCCCCCCCCCCTCCCCCCTCCCCCCCCCTCCCCTTCCTCCCCCCCGCCTCCTTCTCCTCCCCCCCCCTCTCCCCCACTTCACCCCCTACCCCCACCCAACCCCCCCCCCGCCCTTCCCCTCCCCTCCCCCTCCCCCCCCCACCCCACCCTCCCCCCCCCCCCCCCCCCTCCCCCCCCCTCCCCCCCCCCCCCCACCCCACCCCCCCTCCGCCCCCTCCCCTTCCCCCCTTTCCCCCCCCCCCCCCTCCCCCTCCCCCACCACCCCCCCCCCCCCCCCCCCCCCCTCCCAACTCCCACCCACTTTACCTCCCCCCCCCCCCCCCCCCCTCCTCCCCCTCACCCCCAACACCCCCCCCCCCGCCCCCCCCCACCCCCCCCTCCCCCCCCCCCCCTCCCCCCCCCCCCCCCCGCCCCACCCCCCCTCACCCCCCCCCACCCCCCCCCTTCCTCCCCCCCCCTCCCCACTCCCCTCCCCCTTCCCCCCCCCCCCCCCCACTCCCTCCCCCCTCCCCCCCCCCCCCCCCCACTTCCCCCCCCCCCCCCCCCGACCCTCCCCCCTCCCTCCCCCCTCCCCCCCCCCCCCCCCTCCCTCCTCACCCCCCCCTCCCCCTCCCCTACCCCCCCCACCTCCCCCCCCCCTCCCCCACCCCCCCCACCCCCCCCCCCTCCCCTCCCCCCCCCCCCCCCACCCCGCCCCCTCCCCCCTCTCCCCCCTCCCCCCCACCCTCCCCCCCCCCTACCCCCCCCTCCCGCCTCCCCCCCCCCTCTCCCCCCCCCGCTCACTTATCCCCCCCCCACCCCCCCCCCACCCCCCCCCCCCCCCTCCCCCTCCCCCCCCCCCCCTCCCCCCCTCCCCCCCACCCTAACCCCCCCACCCCCCCCCTCCCCCCCCCTCCCCACCCTTTTGGCCCCCCTTCCGCCTCCTCCCCTAGCTCCCCCCTTCCCTCAGGCTCACTCTCCACGCGCCCGTTCAGCGTTCCCTCAGATAACTCTTCTAGGCTCCTTACAGCTTCCAGGCCTCCCAACATCTCAACCCGACCCCCCCCCACTACCCGCGCGCGCCCTTGACCCAGACCCTCCCCACAAATTTCACCGGTTTTTTTCTCCTTCACCACCTCCACCCTCTCGCACTAGCCTCACATCACCCTTCCCTACTTTATCCCACCGTCACCGTGTACACGACCCTCGCACATCCTTGCTGCCCCGCCCGAGTTAGGATACCTCCTAGCATCACCGCTTGGCTCCCCCCCTAGGATCTAACACAGCTTCTAGCCCCCGTTCTAGCTTCACACCGCCTCTCCACCCTCCAGGCTCCTCCCCCTACGGTCCCCCAGTGTCTTGGCTTCAATTTACAGGAGACCTTCCACCCACCACTTTCGTTTTTTTCCTTCACCATCAAATTCCTTGCCCCCCTTCCCCCGTACATCATCCACCCTCTAACCCTTCCCACCTCGCATACCGTCTTACAGTAGTTCCCTCCTTTGACCCGCCCACCCTCGAGTCCTAGCTTGCTCCAGCGTTCCACGCCTTGGTAGGCTTAGGTACTCCTCCTTACAGGTCCTCTCCCCACGCGCTCTCTTACCGGCTCCCCTTCACCCCGCTCTCCCTCACGGCCTCACCATTTCACACCCCGCCCCCCCCCACCGACTCCAAAACTCTCTCTCCGTCTCTTTTCTTCACCACACCACAACCCCCTTTTTAGACTGATTTTCATTAGAATGAAAATTGGCAGACAATCATCTAAAAATTTTCCACGAGACCAAGATCAGGTTTACCAAGGACACGTTAGGCATGCCAATATGGGGGAGAAGAACGATAGCAAGTCATAGAGAAGCGAAACGCGTACAGGACCAAGGGTTCGGAGAACTGAAACGTTGTGTTGATAATACTGTGAATACTTTCCATGAAGAAAGACGTAGTTTTTTATGGGAAGTTAGGATTTTACAGTTGCTAAGCCAGAAGTAGGGCAACGACTACTTGAGGTTCTAAAGACATTGTAGCACCATTAGGGGAATCTTAAAGGATATGCGGTAATATCTTGAATATTTTTTAGAATGACTCACTTTCTCAATACTTTATCATTAACCTCCAGGAATTGATAGCTAGTTTCCAAAATTGTATAATCAGTATTTATTAGAACCAGATCAAAAAAACAAATTAAACAGCACATTTCATCGGAGTAAAATATCAGATAACCTGACGTGAATCCCAGATTAGGTACTACAATAAACTTATAAAATCTCACCCATAAACTAAAATACAATATTATAATTATAATATAAACACACAAATCTATAGGTACCTCAGCAAATATACGAAAACCAAGAAGTTTTCCAGTCGGATAGTATTGTTCTGAAGGTCTAAGTTCGATATAGTGCTTCTTCTACAGTGTGACTGTAAATACACTTTACAGCTGCAAATGATGAGACTTATATACGCCAATATTATCATTTCATACTCTCATTGCGGACAACGCTCTGGCGTATCTCTTTATCTTTGCTCACATTCCTAATTCATCCCGAGCCTTTTGTCATATGTGTACTCTATCCTGTTTTACCTGTCGCACAAACACTCGCTGCGACTTGTGATAGAGACTTGGACATTCTCGTGCGAGGTTTCCACCGGTCGTTAACTGATGCGATTTGAAATTTGTCTTGTTCTTACGGTTCTTGAGATAAGTGGTTTTTATGCTTTTTCTAGGCTTTTTTATGTGGCTGGATTTTGGGTTGTGTCGAGCTTTCAGGCTTCAAAATTTTGATCCTCACGAGTGAGACTTATCTCATACTACATGTCCCGTTTCTCCTTTCATCTCACCATAATATTATACCATTGATCCTTCTTTTGCTTTTCTCAATCATTTCCACTCTCTTTTAATTCTCCCATCTTGGCAGTGGTATGGTGTTTAGCATGGGCATACCGCTCGTAAGCACATAACTGTGAGATAAGGCGTTTCGTGTTTAATTAAGGTACAGGTTTTGTTTAGGTTTAGGTATCAACAAGGTGGTAAGTTAAGATTATAGAAATTAGGCTCACTACCAACATTATAACACAGAAAGACATCCAAAAGTTGGTCGGTAATTCTCACCAATTCAAACCTCGCACATTTTTCGTTAATCACTTCTTTCTTAGGTACCAAACAGCATAGAATGTGTTTCCTGATTCGTTACCATTTTGCAATTCTTCATTGTCGATCTTATTTAATCGACGTATCTGGTCTGTTCATATATCTCTCAATGTTTTTCTCCTGACATCCTTGTTCTCTCCGTCCTCTTGACAGCCTGGCCTTTCGTTACCCGTGTGCATGTCTCCCTCCGTTGTGGCCGTAGTCTAGATTAGTTGAGTTCATGTGGGCTAGGGCTGCCTGTAAGGCTGGCACAATTTACCAGGAGGGACCTCCGCTCACAATTGTTCGCTTTCTTCGTCGCAAAGGAGACGCACTTGATTCTGGTAAAATTCACTCGGTGAATCCAGATGCCCCTTTGAATGCTCTTTGAACCGCAGGTGGCCGCGTCCGCGGGGCACCTGCGACGCCAACTATAATTGCCGAGGAGTAAACTGGGGTATATATACGTCGCCGTTTCTGCAGTTGAGCGATTAGCTCTCACGGGGTCTTTACGGCTGTGGAGGCTTCGCACGGTCAGCGGTGTCCTAGGTCTGCGTGGAAGATTAGGGGTCGCTCACGATCAGGGCTCTTAGGACGAAAGCCAGTCAGACGTCGCGAATATTTACGTTGTTACTAAACATATAAACTACTTGATCGTAAATAATACTACTCATTAACGATCTCAACGATAGATATTGATAAGCTAAATAAACTCGCATTGACACAATAAATGTTGGTAGATGGTAAGTATTAAAGAGTGGATCAGAATATTAAAGAAGTTATCGAGTATTAGGAGTTAGGTTTTTAATAACTTTTAATAATGGGTTAGTGAATGGTTTAGATGGGGTATTTGTAGGTCGATATACATTCAAAAGTAAATATAATTAATACAGATGACTGCATAAGATAGGCTCGTAAATAAACACGTTTTTTCGTATATACATCAATTTGTAGATATATGCTTATTACTGGTTTACAAATTACCCGTCTATCACCTCCACGAAAAATTAGTAGGTACTAGAACACAGCTAGCGCTTCGCCAATAATTTTAGGTGTACCTTGGGAAATTCAGATGTTACGTGTTTCATTAAGGTTAACACTGCGGTTTCGCGATAACCCATCTTATGATTTCCTGTTATCGTGTACGAGCGGCTCGGCGGCACAGGCGGCGGCCGTTCCTGATGGAGAACAGAAATAAACATAAGAAATTACTAAAGAAGGATTAGAAATATACGAAGAGAATAGATGGAGGTGTAGAGTGATGGCTGAAACTTTCCGTATAGTGACCCTCTGAAAGGGTGGGAGAAGGAGAGCAGAGAGGGAAAGGGAGAAAGAAGAGTCAGAGACGAACAAGGCACAGAAGGGCGTCACTCCGGCCCGCCTTCCTCACCAGGTCGAGGCCGAAGAGCGAGCAGGTTTGCTGGATGGTCTTCTGGTCGCAGCGGTCCATCACGTCGGGCGGCGGCGTGCCGGCGATGGGCTGCGGCCGCGGGCGGACGGTGCGCGAGCGCGCGCGCAGCTCCAGGTTGCGCTTGAGCGTGGGCCAGCGGCGCCGGAAGTGCCACCCGCGCCACACGGCCTGGATCAGCGTGGCGGCGCGGTGCCGAGTCTCGATGCGCAGCATCTCCAGCTGCTGCCGGGCGCCCTCGCTGAGGAACAGACACAGTGATAAATGAACGACACAGAGAGACGAATGAGAACAGATCAGCAAAACCGCGACACAGAGCCTGCAGAGGCGCCCGAGCGCCGGTGCCCACCTGAGGAAGATGTGCCTCTTGCCGAGCGCCCACTGGATGGCCACGGTCGACGACTTGTTCACGTCCTCGAGCGAGCGCACGAAGTACTCCAGCACGAGCTTGCAGTCGTCCACCGTCTTGTCCTCGACGCGACGCAGCTTCTTGAACGGCGCCAGCAGGCGGTAGCGCATGTTGAACGTCTTGAAGCGCATGCGGTGCGGGTAGCCGCCCGCCATCAGGTTCACCGTCTCCAGAACCTGCGGGAGGAGGCTCAGTGAGCGGAGCGGAGGAGCAGAAATCGAGAAAGAAGTATCATGGTTGGCAGGGAAGAAACAAGGAAATCTCGAAAGAGAAAATCAAATAAGAAAATATGAAAAGAAGAAACAATGATAAACGCGAAGACGCATGCTCGGAGGCCCCCGCAGGCCCGCAGACTGTACCTGCAGAGCGCGGATCTGCTTGATGACGGTCGCCCGGTCGAACACGGCGGGCTTCTCGGAGGCGTTGGAGCGCAGGCAGCGCACGAAGTGGGGCTTCGCGTGCACCAGCGTCCGCAGGAGGTTGTCGAGGCGCGTGTGGAAGTCCTGCGTGAGCGTCGACACCGGCTCGTCGCCGTTTTGGCTGCGGGGAGAGGCGCGGAATCAGGCATTGGGACATGGATCAGATGTTATGTGTTATTGGTCGTTGTAATAATGTTGAAAAATAATTTGTTTTTTCTTATTCATTGTTATTATCATCACTGTCAGTTTAACAATAGACAATAGCATAATTTTCTGTATCAATGCCATTATTATTATTAATAATATCACTGTCATCAGTATCATGTTTGTCAATCCAACCCAGTGTGTACAGACGTGTATCCATGAACACAAATTCACGGCTGAGCATTTTCCTGTCACTTACTTCCTATTTCCTCCTCCCTCTTTCTCTTCCCATCATACCTCCCTCAATTATTTTACATACATTTCCACCCTTTTTCTCAATTATATTCTGCCTTTCTCTCTTTCCTCCCTCTCGTTGTCTCCCTCCTGCTTCTCTTTTTCCCTTACTCTTTCTACCCTCTCTTTTCCATCACTCTTAACCCTCAATTTTCCTCTCTTTCTTTTTTATTATGTCAGCCTCCTTTCCTTATTTTTCCCTCTCTCCCTCATTACACGAACCTCCTTCCCTGCTCCACTCCTCCCTCACACTTTCCCTCCTCCATCGCTTTCCCTTCCCCATTTCTCCCCCCACCTACTTCGCCCTTCCGTCGACTTACAGATCCGTGTGAGAGGTGGGGCTGATCCTGAAGGAGACGCCCCTGGGGACGGGGTCCTGCGAGAACAGCGCCTTCAGCTCCGAGCCGAACAGGTGCGTCGCGAAGCCGAAGTTGCATGACTGCTTGTGGAACACGCACACCAGGTCGTCGCTGATGATGTCCTTATTGGTGTCTGACGGGAAATTGCACATTGAATTATCTATTCATTTACTCAGCAAAATCGTCGACAAATAACAACGACGAAGTCCAAAAGTTAAAATATAATTGTAAAGTAAATCTGTTGAATCTCACATGCACAACTGACTATTCTAAAATTCTAGTCTCACCTCCTCTGACTCATTCACTCTCTTCCTCCCTCAATCACTTCCTCTCTTACCCAATCACACACTGACTCACTCACCCAAGAAATCCGAAGCGTCGTAAATGACTCTGTTAGCGAAGTGATGGATCCCGAAGGACCGGATGTGGTTCGCTTTGGGCTCGAAGAGTCTGAGGTTGCCCTTGTGCTGCACCTTCACCTTCTGGATGTAGCTCTCCGGCGTCCCCCGCACGGAGCACTCCACGTCGAGCATGCTGAGCAGGCCGGTGCGCTGAGGGGGAGGGTGGAGATGAAGGGAAGGCATAAATGGGTGAAAGAAGGAAGAAAACAGATTTCTGTAAACAAACAAAAACTAAATCAAAACAAATATTTACCGACAATGATAGGCAGAAATGGAACCTAACCAAATGCATTAAAAAGCCATGCCTTACCAGCGAGGAAATAAGGTCGATGCAGGGCACGTTGTCAACGTAGTCGACCTCCACCTCGCACGTTATGCCTTCCTCTCGACACGACTCGATCGACGACTTGAAGATGTGCGTGTTGTAGAAATGCTGCATAGTCTCCGCGCACAGGTTGATGCACAGGTGCTCCAGGTGGGACGGCTGCGGAAGGGGGGCAGAGTTAGGCACCTCTTTGCGGCTGCTCTTCCTCTCCCTTTCCCTTTCCCTCTCCTCCCTCCCTCCCATCCCATTCTCTCTCCCCCAGCCTCGCCATTCCCTTCCCATCCCTCCCCTTCCTCCCCCTCTCCCGCCACTCACCTTCGGGTCCTCGAAGCCAAACATGTCCAGGATCCCGATGAATCCGTCCGTGGCGTGCTTCACGGCGTTGTTGAGGACGCTCATGGACTTGGACGCCTTGGAGCCTGCGGTGCCGACGGTGGACGCGTGCTGGGACGCCACCTCGGCCTGGTGGTGGACGCTCTCGTTGCTGGGGGAAAGGCGGAGGCCTCGTTAGTCTCTGGCCAGCTTTGTGTTTCCAGAATATATATATATATATATATATATATATATATATATATATATATATTATATATATATATATATATATATATATGTGTGTGTGTGTATATGTATATATATATATTGTGAGTGTGCGCATGTGTGAGTGCATTCGTGTGTATTTCTTCATATTCAGTACATAAACGCCATAATTGGTTAAATGACTAGCAAGTTTCCTCGGTCATCGCTTTTCTGTTGACGAGGCATCAGGTGCCCCACCTTCTCGCACGGCCCCTGGGTGCTTACCTGTCGGAGGAGAGCGTGCCCGAAGTGGAGCCGAGGCGCTTGAGGGAGTTGGCTCTCCTGACGATGGTGGCGACGGTGCGGCAGTAGAGCGCCTTGGCCAGGGCGTCTCGGGTCATGTTGGACTGCGGGGGGATGGGATTTAGCTATTTGCGTTTCTTTGTTTAGGAAAGACACGATCAATTTTGATACTACTCTCCTTGTTAAAGCTAATTAAATTCATTTCTACTTATATTCCGTTCTTTCTAGCTTTACTTATTCCACAATGCTTTCACTACTGAGTGCACCTATTATCTATCCTCGTCCTCGTCCCCACGTCACCCCTCCTTCCGGCCCGAGCCACTCACCATATTCGCGTCGCACATGGACTTGACCAGCTGCCCCCTCACGTTGTGCGTCCGCGTGGTGAGGCCGCGGTAGAGCGAGGCGGACGACACGCCGAGCAGCGCCGAGACACTCTGGAGTTGAGCGGAAAAAGGGATCAAGGCTGTGGTAAGAACTGACGTTCATTTAGTAACTCATCTACTGATAACCTCGCGGAGATAAATGAACATTCTCTACATCTATTTCTGTCCGCGATTATGTGTCTAGTAAGAAATATACTGCTTTAATGCAATATTTTTGTTTAGCAATGGTATTTTCTAAGCCAACCAGAGAAAGACATTCTCATATGATTTCCTAATTGTATATATTTCTCTCTCACGCTTTTCTTCCTCTCTCTGTCCAATATATCTTCTACGTTCTTTCTCTTTTTCCCTTCTTTCCATTCCACGCTCTTTCCCTTTATCTCTATCCACCCTCCCCTTTCTCCATTCTCTCATCTCCTCTCTGTTTCACTATCTCCCATCTTCCTTTCCCTTGCTTCTTCTCACACCCCTCTCCCCCGCCTTCCCGGCCCCACCCTCCTATCCCTCCTCCCCCCGCCTTCCCGGCCCCACCCTCCTATCCTCCTCCACCCCCCTCCCCTCCTTACCTTGAGCTCGTGACTTCCCCCTTGGATGTCGACCTCGAGCCCCTGGCCCTCGACGAAGGTGACGTTCCCCAGGAGCAGGACGGCGGCCAGGACCCGCACCACGTCCAGGAACGGGATGCCCAGGACGCCCAGACACGCCTTCCACGACTCGAACCTGAAGGAGGAGTCAGTGAGGGAGAGTCGACGCAGCGCCTCCTGCTCGCGGCGCCTCTCGCCCTCGGGCGCGCTGCTGCGCCGTCGGGTTCAGGGCGGCGGTGACGGTCGTTCCTGGCCTTCCATTGTGATGCTGACGGTTACTATCTTCAGTATCATCACTAGTCTTTATTATTATTTCTATTGTCGGTATTATTACTATCATTATTATTAGTATAATTTCTACTATTATTATCATCATCTTCCTAATGATAATAATAATGATAATAATGAGAATAACAATGATTATTATCATTGCCATTGTTATTTTTTTATTATTATTATTATTATCATTATTATCATTACTATCGTTATCATTAGTAAAATTCTTATCATTATTATTGTTACTATTATTATTATCATTACTTATTCTACCATTTTGATCATCATTATCTTATAAATTTTATTGCTTTTTGTGTGATTCATTTTATTATTAAGGTTATTCCTCTCTTTCTTAATCAACAAACAAGACTACATTTACATCTTAATTGATAATTTTTTTATTTTTCTATTATGTCCTGATTCCAATACAGTTTTTTCTATCACTATCTTTTGGGTGTGGCCGTAGCTCTTCACCTTTTTATCTTAATTTCCTTCTACTACGAAAAAAAGAGAAAGAAAGAAGGAAATGGAAACATAAACAAAAGTCACATAGGCCTCCTGTAAATAATGAAACAATTTCTCCTTCCCAGCCCCTGGGAGGAGAGGCGAGATGATATCTGAAGGAACATCTCGGAAACACCCCAATAGGCCTAACACCCTCCCTGCTCCCCCTCCCCCCTCCCCTGAATCTCCCCTCCCCCTCCCTCATCTTATCCCCCCTGCCCCTCCCCTCCCCTTAACCTTCCCCCTCCCCCCCTCCCCTTAATCTTCCCCCCCCCCTCCCCTCCTCTTAACCTTCCCCTCCCCCACCTCCATTCCCTCATCTCCATCGCAGGTACTAGACTCTGCCCTCCCCTCCCCCTCCCCACCCCTTTTCGATATCCCCTTTCTCCCTCTCCTCACCCACTCTCCTCTCCCTCTTTCTCCGTTCCTCCCTCTGTCTCTCTTTCACTTTCTCTCCTTTCTCTCTCTCCATCCCTCATTTTCTGTTTATCTATCTATCTGTCTACCTATCTATCTATCTGTATATACATCTATGTCTGTCTGTATCTATCAATGGATTTTCTCTTTCCTTATGCTCTCCCTCCCTTGCTCTCTCTCTCTCTCTCTCTCTTCTCCTTTCTCTCTCTCTCTCTTCTCTCTTTCTCTCTCTCTCTCTCTCTCTCTCTCTCTCTCTCTTCTTCTCTCTCTCTCTCTCTCTCTCCTCTTCTCTCTCTCTCTCTCTCTCTCTCCTCCTCCCTCTCCCTCTCCCTCTCCCCTCCTCTCTCTCCCCTCCCTCTCATCTCTCTCTCTCATCTCTCTCTCTCTCTCATCTCTCTCTCTCTCTCTCTCCCTATTCATCTATCGCTATATCTATCTATCTATTGATCCATTTATGGCTCTCTTCATCAACAGCCCCTATTTTTTCTCTCTGTTATTCAGCAATTTTCCAGCAATAAATCTTATCAGCTAAGATCGCCCTCACATCGCCTCTACCTGTCTATATAACCCTACATACCCACATAATTACTACATGCCCAAAGTGAAACTGGGCATGTGGGTTTGCTTATCTTGGTTTCTCATGCCTATTAACCACTCTGCTGCTATTTTGTCACTTCCTTATTTTTCTTTGTGTTTAAGATTGATCTATCGGTTTTCGATTTTGTTCTCACTTTTTTTGTCTCTCCTTCATTATCTATTTACTTCTCTCCTTTCTCTATCCTTTCCACTGTCTGTCTGTTTTTCCCTCCGATTCTCTCTCTCTCTCTCTCTCTCTCTCTCTCCTCTCTCCCTCCTCCTTTTTTCTCCCTCGCACTCCATTTTTTCCTTCCCTCCCCCTCGCCTCCATCAACTCAGAAACCCCCATTCTCTCCCTTCCCCTTCCCTTTATTTAACTCCCTTTATGACTTCTATAACCCACCGCTTTGACCCCCCTTTGACCCTTCAAGATCTCCCTCTCCCTGTAAAATCCCCTCCCCTGGACCCCTCCCTCTCCATCCCTCCGTCCACCCCCTCCCTTTATAACCCCTCACCCCCACTGACCCCCCTTGACCTCTGACCTGCGAGCATCCTCAGCCTCATCTTGCCTCACGTCGCCCTCGCTCAGATACCGGAGTGTCCTCACGCTGTGGCCGTCGAGGTGTAACTTGGCTGAAAAATAAGAATTTTCGTAAAAAAAAGAAACATTTCCTTTAAAAAGATAACACATTTTCGTTAAAAATAAGAAAGATAACACTATTTTCGTGAATGAAAATGAGAAAGATAACACTAATCTTCTTTTAAGAATAAGAGATACTAATTTTCGTTAAAAAATAAGAAAGATAACACTAATGTTTGTAACTTCATGGAAAAAGTTAATTCATTGACTGTAAACAGGAAAAGGATTTCGGAGAAATCCTTTTTGGATAAAAAGAAGCAAGATACAATATATGTCGTACATTCTGTACTTTAAAACGCGTATGAAGGCATGTTGTTGAATAACTGAATGTGCAAATAGGGATTAAGAGAAGGACTTACTGTGAGCAAGATAAGAAAACAAACATTGGTGTTGAGTTAAATTAATAGATATATCAAAAAAAGGAATTAAAGGAGTAACCTCATGTAAAGAAGAATCTTCAGAACAACATCTTTCCACCGGAGACAAATCAAACGACGGCAATTGCGTCAGTATAAAAAAGACAGCTAACACAGGGAAAGGAAATGAGAGAGGAAACGAATAGAAATAAAAGAAGGGAATACTATAGATCACCACTTTCTGATCTAAGGCGAGGAATGATGACATAGTTGAGTTATTTGTGAAAAAATAATAAGAAGATGAAAGGGAATGACAAAAGGAAGAGGATGATAAAGAAGCTTAAGGAGAGGAAGAGAAAGGAAGAGAATGACAACATATTTAACTCCCTTTTGCAAATATCAAAAGTGAAAAAAAAAGATTGAATAAACATATACAAAAACTAGTGATCAACAGTTGAATAAGAAACAATCTAATACATGATAATCATAATACGAAGAAGGAGATGACATAATACAAGGAGAAGATGAAAAAGAAGGAAAAAGAGGAAGAA